GCCAAGGCCCCCAAGACCCATCTGCGACCATGTATACGCGCGATCCACACCGCCTTGTCGCCTATCTGATTCCCTTTCCCAAACCTTACATTCATATGCCAGCCGGCGTATCCGTTCCAGAACGTTTTCTGATATACACTCCACCACCCCCACCTCTAACCTTACCCTCGGAAGGTGAAAGGGAAGAGCGTTTCCACAAGCTACAGCGGAAATGGCAGGAAGAGGTCCGCGCAGCCAAGATTTCGAACTCGAAAACCGCGAGCTGGAAAGGTGTTAAGGACAAAGCGACAATCGGCATTAGCAAAGCTATAGATGCGACTAAGAACTCGAACATTGAATTTTTAACTCGTCTCCCCGAGCACCACCGTAATCACTCCCGTAGCCGCTCGCCGAACCCAAAGGTCGACACGTATGTTAATGATGGAGTTCAGGAAGACGATATGACGCACAAGACCGTCGGCCTACAGGAAATTGTCCTCGTTCATCCCGCTAGCATGCAAGGCACCGAGGCCCAGATCCGGTTAGAGTTCATCAACTCAATGCTGCGTACTAAGTCTAAAGCACAGCGCGACGGCATTATTGCAACAGGTCTGATCCCCGTCGCAGCAGCAATTGATCTCCTTGCCACGGTGGTTTGGCCTTTCGGCGGTCTACTCGAGATCGACTCCGTCTGGGCATATACCTCCTTCCGTGGCGCTAAGACTGCGAGATCTGTCACCAGGCGTCTGACTTCAAGTTCCGAGAGCGGTGATCACGAAAAAGATACGCTGAAGTTGACGTTCACTCCGTCGAGAAGGTTAGGGGTACTGGAGAGCTATTTGGCGGATATTTGTCATAAGAGGGACGGCAAGTTATTTTTAAGCGCCGGGGTGCCGCCGACTGATGGGCAGGTGTTAGATGCTATTGGGTGGAAGGCGATGAGGAGTGGGGAGACGAGGAATTGGGAAAATGAGCAGTGGGAGTGGATGGAGGTGAAGGAGGATTTGAGAAGTGTGATGGGGAAGGGGGCTAGGGAATGGGGGAGGTGGTGTAGAGAGTTTGAGAAGGATCCGAGTAAGGCTATTAAGAAGTTAGGGGTGGGAGAGGGTAAACGGGGGTAAGAAGAATGGAAGGGGATAAAGGCTTACTAGATTATATCGCTTTCTTATATATACTAAAGTTAAAGTTAACTTTATTTAAGAATAAATAGCCCTTTTTTTTTTCTTTTTTTTTCTTTTAATTCTATTAATTATATTATCTATAATATTATATATATATAACTTTTAAAGTATAATATAATTTTTTATTATAATAAGTATTTTCTAATATAAATATTATAATTATAAATTATAAAAAGTATATAATTATTAAATAAAGAGATAAAAAAATTATATAATATAATTATAAAAAATATAATAATATATTATAATATTAATTCTATATTTTCTATATTATATAATAATATATTATAATATTAATTCTATATTTTCTATATTAAATATTTAATTTATTTATAAAAGATCTTTATTAAATTAAATATAAAAAAGATCTTTAAATATTAATTAATTAAATAGAAAATAATTAAATTAAAGTTTAATAAAATAAAATTATTATATATAAATATTTAATTTATAATATTATTATTTTTTAATTTAATCTCTATATTTAATAATTAGTAATAAAGATAATTAAAATATAATTATTATAATTATATTATATTATTATATTAAATTAAATTCTTCTTTAATAGTCTTTAAAAAAATAATATAATATTTTAATTAAAGTATAATATTAGTTTAATCGATAAATAATTATCGAATTAATTAGAAATTTATAAATAATTAAGCTTTATTAATAATAAAATATCTAATATTTAAAAGTATTAATATTAATAATAATAATAATCTAATATTTAAAAGAGATTAAAATTAATAAATATAAATTATTTAAAAAAGTAAATATTATAATAAATTAAATAATATAATTAAATATTTAATAATTTTAATAAAATAAATAGATAATAAATTAACTATAAATTTAAAAGTAAAAAATAATATTAAATTAAAAGAAAAAGAAAAAATATATTAATATAAATTAATATTAGAAATAATTAACTAATAAATTATCGATAATATTTTAGAAATATATAATAATATATTATAATATAAATTCTATATTTTCTATATTAAATATTTAGTTTATTTATAAAAAATCTTTATTAAATTAAATATAAAAAAGATCTTTAAATATTAATTAATTAAATAAAAAATAATTAAATTAAGACTTAATAAAATAGAACTATTATATATAAATATTTAATTTATAATATTATTATTTTTTAATTTAATTTTTATACTTAATAGTTAATAATAAAGATAGTTAAAATATAATTATTATAATTATATTATATTATTATATTAGATTAAATTTATTTTTAATAGTTTTTAAAAAGATAATATAATATTTTAATTAAAGTATAATATTAGTTTAATTAATAAACGATTATTAGATTAATTAAAAATTTATAAATAATTAAGTTTTATTAATAATAAAATATTTAATATTTAAAAGTATTAATATTAATAATAATAATAATTTAATATTTAAAAAAGATTAAAACTAATAAATATAAATTATTTAAAAAAGTAAATATTATAATAAATTAAATAAAATAATTAAATCTTTAATAATCTTAATAAAGTAAATAAATAATAAATTAATTATAAATTTAAAAGTAAAGAGTAATATTAAATTAAAAGAAAAAGAAAAAATATATTAATATAAATTAATATTAAAAGTGTAATAACTATTATCTATTAATCTTTCTACTTTCCTATATTTAGCGGGTTTACTTATATTTAACTTAATTATATTATTAGAAAATTCTATTAGCTAATAAGGTTACTTAAGCTTATAATTATTATTTATAACTTTCTTTTTTCTTTAATTTAATCTCTTTACTCGGTAGTAGTTATATATAGCTAATATTAATAGATTAGCTCTTAGTATTATAAATATTATATTAAATTAAGTTCTATATAATTATAGTCTCTAGAAAGGCGATATAATATTCTAATTAAAATATAATATTAATCTAGTTAATAACTAATTATAGATAATTAAAACACCGATAGATAGTCAGCTTTATTAATATAAAGAGAGAATAAGTATTAAGATTTATTAAAAAGTAAAGACTTATTATAATCACTTATAGAGAGTATTTATAGAGTAAAAGAGAGTAAAAGTTAAAAATAGCTAGACTTAATAATATTAAAGAATTAGAAAATAGAATAATCTATAATAACTCCTTAATAATAATACTAGAATAGTAATAAAGCGATAAAAGAAAGTAAAGAAGCTTTAAATATTTAAGATAAAACTTAATAATATTATTAATAAGAATTATTACTAAGGAATTTATAGTAGATAATTTTTAATAAATATAGAATAATTTTAAGGATAATTTCGAAAGTAAAGTATAATATATAAAGACGACTATTAGCCTAGAAAAAATCCTTTATAATATAGAAGATATAATAGAATAGATAGAGAAGGAACTATCCGCGATCGTAATAAAGTATATTAAGATGATATTATCTATAATAGTATAATACCTTTAGATTAAGAAGATTACTAACTTATATAATAAAATATAAGAGGATTTATAGTTAAAAATAGACGTTCTTAAAAAGAATAAAGTAGTTATTATAAACCTTTAAAATAAAGTTAAAATACTATAAGAATAACTATAATAAACTAAAGGATAATATTCTATCTACTTTATATAGTTCGAATTCGGAACTTCTAAGGCTAGCCGTAAGAGGTTAAAGAAGTTCCCTAATCTATCTATTTTAACTAATAGTAAAGATTCTACTTATAAAGTCTATGACGATGTGTCACGATGCTGATCCCGTATTTCCTATGCTGAGTGTTTGGTTTATTTGCAAGAGATCTTTGCCGGGTCGGACGCGGAAAAGATCTCTAAGCGCTGATTGGTTAAACGGAAGATAGTCGGGCCGAGGCTTAGCAAGGCGGGACTGTTATATGCGGATATTCGGCCCACGATATTATTGTTCCTTAACTTAATCTCCACACTTAGTAGTTAGTAATAGAGATAGTCAAAATACGATTACTATAGCTATACTACATTGTCACA